ACGGACAAGCTCACTGCCCGCACTGTCCCCTGTGTCTTCCTCGGTTTCCCCCTGGACTCGTCTGACTGGCTTTTCTACCACCCGCCGTCTCACCGCTTCCTCCACTCTCGTGACGTCACCTTTGACGAGTCCGTCTCCTTCTACCGCCGCTTCCCTCACCGAGGTCTCCCAGTTGCCCCCCCCTTTTCCTTGCTCCCTCTCCCCCGGTAGCCCCTGCCCCTCTCCCGCCTCGTCCTGCCCCGTCTGGTGTCTCCCACGTCACTCCCCTCCCGTCGGTTGTCCCCGTTGAGGAGTCTGCTGACTCTGGTGGTACCCCCGGTCCGTCCTTGCCGCGTCCCCCTTCCCCAGTGCCTCCGCCCCCACTGTCGCAGTCGCCGACCCCGCTGCCGCCGCCGTCGCCGTCGCCGCCGCAGCCGTCGCCGCTGTCGCCGCCACTGCCGCCGTTGCTCTCGGCCCCTGGGGGTGCTGGTGTGGAGGAGGGTGTTCGTCCTGCGGCTTCTGGGGGTGCCGCTGGTGTTGGAGGGGGTTCTCGCTCTTGGGGTGTTGGTTCTGGGGGTGCTGCTGTTGAGTGTTCTGCCGACGGTCGTTCTGCCTCTGCTGGTCCGAGAGTTCCGGCCCAGCCGTCGTCGCCGCCGCAGCAGCCGTCGCCGCCGGTTTCCGCTCTCCGCCTGCTCGGCCTTCCCTCCCCGGACCGCGCGCCGGTGTCTCCCCCACCGCCTCCTGACCTTTCTGTCTACGGTCCTGTGTTCCCGCCGCCAGACTCGTCTCCGGCCCGTCTTCCTCCTCGTTCCCCTCGTGTGTCTCCTCCGCTGTCCCCTGACCCTACCCCTCCGTCTCACGTTTGGGCTCGCCGTCCCTCCCGTGCTCGTCCCGTCTCTCCTGTCCTGCCCACCCACCCTATGTTGCTCCGTTCCCACTCGTCTCGTCCTCCCCTCCTCCCGTCCCCTCCTCCCTCGTCCCTTGCTGTTGCACCTCCTCCGTTCTCTGACTACCTCCGTGCTGCTCGTCCCCTTGTCCCTCGGGTCCTTGCCTCTCTTGTTACCGACCCTGCTGTTCCTGTCTCGCGCCTTGACGCGCTTGTCGCTGCTGTCGCTGACTTCGCCTCTACCCGCCGCCTTGACTACGCTACCGCTCTGGTCTCTGACCCTGCCCGTCCTCTGTCCGTCGAGGGTGCTCCTGCCCTTGGCAGTGACGTCCTAGAGGACAGGCAGTACGAGCTGGCTTTCCTTTCCGAGGCTGCTCCCCATCTCTGCTCCATGCTGTTAGTCCCTGAGGGTGACCCAGACGCCTTCGACATCCCGACCCCTCGCACCTACGCTGAGGCCACCTCGGGACCTTGGGCCTCTCAGTGGATAGCTGCCATGGAGCAGGAGATGGCATCTTGGAGATCCACCGGCACTTACGTCGACGCAGTTCCCCCGCCTGGGGTGAACGTAGTCGATGGTCGGTGGCTCTTCAAGGTGAAGCGCCCCCCTGGAGAGCCGCCTGTCTTCAAGGCGCGCTACGTGGCCAGAGGTTTCAGTCAGCGCGAGGGGGTTGACTTCTTCCAGACCTTCGCCCCGACCCCGAAGATGACCACTCTTCGGGCGCTGCTACACGTAGCAGCACAGCGTGACTACGAGCTTCACTCCCTCGACTTCTCTACTGCCTTTCTTCAGGGCAGCCTACACGAGCAGGTCTACCTGCGCCGACCACAGGGCTTCACTGGTACCTTCCCTCCTGGGACCCAGTGGCTTCTCAGGCGCCCGGTCTACGGCCTGCGTCAGGCTCCCCGCGAGTGGCACGACACGCTACGTGCCACGTTAGCAGACCTGCAGTTCTTTCCGTCCTCTGCTGACCCTTCACTGTTTGTGCGTTCCGGCCAGACTCCGTTCTACATCCTTGTCTACGTAGACGACCTGGTCTTCGCTACTCCTGACAGGGACGCACTGGCCTCTGTGAAGGCTGAGCTGCTGAAGAGACACACCTGCACTGACCTTGGAGAGCTGCGTCGCTATCTTGGCCTGCAGATCTCTAGGGACAGAGCAGCACGCACCATCACTCTGACCCAGTCACACTTGGTGCGTCAGGTCCTTCAGAGGTTCGGTCTTCAGTTCTCCTCTGCACAGCCCACACCTCTACCCGTAGACCATGGGCTCTCTGCTCCCGTTCCTGAGGAGTCAGTAGAGCCCAGTGGCCCCTACGCAGAGCTGGTGGGTTGCCTCATGTACCTGATGACTTGCACTCGCCCAGATCTCGCATACCCTCTCAGCATCCTGGCTCGCTTTGTGGCTACAGGCAGACACCGACCTCAGCACTGGTCTGCCGCTAAGAGGGTTTTGCGTTATCTTGCTAGTACATCAGGCATGGGGTTAGTGCTAGGAGGACGCAGGCCAGTGGTCCTTACTGGGCACACAGACGCTTCTTGGGCAGACGACGCTGAGACGCTCAGGTCGTCGCAGGGCTACTGTTTCAGCCTTGGTTCGGGTGCTATCTCTTGGAGATCCACTCTCTCGTCGTCTGTGGCTCAGTCTAGCTGTGAGGCTGAGATCTACGCTGGTGCCATGGCGGCACAGGAGCTCCGCTGGCTGACCTTCTTGCTCACAGACTTAGGTGAGCGGCCTAGCTCTGCCCCGGTCCTGTACGCTGACAACAGGGCCATGATACTCCTGTGTCAGGAGCCTCGGCTTGAGGGCAGAGCGAAGCATATCCAGCTGCGGTACTTCCTCCTGCGCGAGCTACAGCAGCGCCGCCAGGCCCGCGTAGTTCACTTGGCCTCAGGTGCCAACACAGCTGATATCTTTACTAAGGCGCTTGCGCCTAAAGATCATCAGCGGCACTGTGTACAGCTTGGTCTTGTTCCTGTAGCTGCTCCCCTGTTAGGATCCTGATTGTGTACTCTCTATTATATATGCTTGTCAGACTGGCCTTGTGGCCTTACCTCCAGTGGCTGGACTAGTAGTGCCACCCTGGCTTGCTTCAGTTTTGGTTGTATTCTTGCTGACTGGTCTCCAGACCCCTGCCTCAGTGGTTGGACTAGTAGTGCCGCCCTGAGCTGTTTGCTTCTTGTTTCGTTTCACCCCTTGTCTAGCCTAGGGGGTGTGTCAACTTATACATATTATCTATGTAGAAGTTATAGGCTAGACTGAGGTATGCTTCTAGTGAGTACAACCAACTAGTATTTGTTCTAGGTTTCCACCTCTAGTAATCATTCGTTTCTACGTTAACACTAGCAAGATAACGCAAAACCCTCTTAGCGGCAGACCAGTGCTGCGGTCGGTGTCTGCCTGTAGCCACAAAGCGCGCCAGGATGCTGAGAGGGTATGCGAGATCTGGGCGAGTGCAAGTCATCAGGTACATGAGGCAACCCACCAGCTCTGCGTAGGGGCCGCTGGGCTCTACCACCTCCTCAGGTACAGGAGCGGAGAGTCTGTGGTCTACAGGCAGAGGGGTGGGCTGTGCAGAGGAGAACTGAAGGCTGAACCTCTGAAGGACCTGGCGCACCAAGTGTGACTGAGTCAGGGTGATGGTGCGCGCAGCTCTGTCCCTGGAGATCTGCAAGCCAAGGTAACGGCGCAGTTCTCCAAGGTCAGTGCAGGTGTGTCTCTTCAGCAGCTCTGCCTTCACGGAGGCCAGTGCGTCCCTGTCTGCCGTGGCAAAGACCAGGTCGTCGACGTAAACAAGGATGTAGAACGGAGTCTGGCCAGCACGAACGAAGAGTGAAGGGTCTGCGGAAGACGGAAAGAACTGCAGGTCAGCAAGGGTAGCACGAAGAGTGTCGTGCCACTCACGGGGAGCCTGGCGCAGGCCGTAGACGGGGCGCCGCAGGAGCCACTGGGTCCCAGGAGGGAAGGTGCCAGTAAAGCCCGGAGGGCGACGCAGGTAGACCTGCTCGTGTAGGCTGCCCTGAAGGAAGGCAGTGGAGAAGTCGAGGGAGTGAAGCTCGTAGTCACGCTGAGCAGCTAGGTGTAACAGAACCCGAAGAGTAGTCATCTTCGGGGTCGGAGCGAAAGTCTGGAAGAAGTCCACCCCCTCGCGCTGACTGAAGCCTCTAGCCACATAGCGCGCCTTGAAGACAGGCGGCTCTCCAGGAGGGCGCTTCACCTTGAAGAGCCAGCGGCCATCGACTACGTTCACCCCAGGTGGGGGAACTGCGTCGACGAAGGTGCCGGTGGATCTCCAAGATGCCATCTCCTGCTCCATGGCAGCTATCCACTGCGAGGCCCAGGGTCCCGAAGTCGCCTCAGCGTAAGTGCGAGGGGTCGGGATGTCGAAAGCGTCTGGGTCACCCTCAGGGACTAGCAGCATGGAACAGAGATGGGGAGCAGCCTCGGAGAGGAAAGCAAGCTCGAACTGGCGGTCCTCCAGGACGTCACTGCCAAGGGCAGGAGCACCCCCGACAGACGGAGGACAGGCAGGGTCAGAGACCAGAGCGGTGGCGTAGTCAAGGCGGCGGGTAGAGGCGAAGTCACCGACAGCAGCGACAAGAGCGTCAAGGCACGAGACCGGAACAGACGGGTCGGTAACGAGAGAGGCAAGGACCCGAGGAACGAGAGGACGAGCGGCACGAAGGTGGTCGGACAGCGGGGGGGGCGCAACAACAAGGGAGGACGGAGGAGGCGACGGGAGAAGGGGAGGACGAGACACGTGGGAACGAAGCAACATAGGGTGGGAGCGCAAGACAGGCGAGGCAGGACGAGCACGGGAGGGGCGGTGAGACCAGACGTGCGACGGAGGAGTCGGGTCAGGAGACAGGGGAGGGGACACAGGAGGGGAACGAGGGGGGAGACGAGCCGGGGACGAGTCCGGCGGAGGGAAAACAGGGCCGTAGACAGGAAGAGGAGGAGACAGTCGGGGAGGAACCGACGCAGGGTCGGGGGACGGAAGGCCGAGCAGGCGAAGGGCGGACACCGGCGGGGACCGCTGCTGCGGCGGCACAACGGCGACACCTGGACCGCAAGCTGCGCCTCGACGACCACCGGCACTCTCCACACCAGCACCCCCAGAGGGACCACCCCCAGGGCGACCGGGACGAGCACCCCCAGAGTCAGCGAACGGGGGCTGCGACGGCGGCGGCGGCGGCGGCGGAGGCGACGGCGGCGGCGGCGGCGGCGGCGGCGACGACGACGGCTGCAGCAGCGGTAGTGGCGGTGGAGGAGGGGACTGGGGAGGGGACACCTGGGGAGGGGCGGCCGGCGAGGACTGCACAGGAGGGCCACCAGAGTCAGAAGACTCCTCAACCGGGTCCACGGACGGAAGGGGGGTGACGTGGGACACACCAGAGGGGGCGGGACGGGGAGGAGGAGGAGGAGGGGCATGGACTACCGGGGAAGGGGTGACCAGGACCAGGGGGGGGGTAACCGGGGGACCACGGTGGGGAAAGCGGCGGTAGTAGGAGACAGACTCGTCAAAGGTGACGTCACGAGAGTGAAAGAAGCGGTGAGACGGCGGGTGGTAAAAGTGCCAGTCGGACGCGTCAAGGGGAAAACCGAGGAAGACGCAGGGAAGGGTGCGGGCAGTGAGCTTGTCCGTGCCGGAGGCACGGACGTGAGCAAGGCAGCCCCAGACGTGGAACGCAGACGCGTCACCAGGGGACCCAGTCCAAAGACGGGTCGGCGAAACCTGCGGCTGCTGAGGGTGCGGCCACAGGTTAAGGTGGTGAGAAGCGTAGCGCACAGCGAACGGCCACAGAAAATGGGGTGCACCGGCATGGATCATGGAGGTGCGAGCGACCTCCATGACCAAACTGATGCGTCGCTCAGCGACCCCATTCTGCTGTGGGGAGTCCGGTAGGGTGAACGTCTGGGTGATGCCCTCCGTACGACAAAAGCGACCAAGGACACCGGAGGCAAACTCGCCACCACGGTCTGAGTGAAGACGCAAGATAGGGAGACCGCGGTGGACACGCGCAGAGACAAGCCAGGGAATGAGAGCGCCAGGCACGTCGGCCTTGCGCTCCAGGGGAAAGACTGTGGTGTAACGAGTGAAGTCGTCGACAAGCACAAGGAAGTAGCGCTCTCGACGCGGCCCAGGGACGAGGGCGGGGCCCCAGACGTCCAGGTGCAGGGTCTGCAGCGGTGCGGCGGTAGGGGGAAACGAGGAGGAGTGAGGGGCACGGCGAAGCCGACTCTCGACACAAGGCGTGCAAGGTGGGGCTGGAGAGGAGGGAAACGCGGGGAGCGAACCTGGGAGACCAAGGACGAGACCGTGCTGAGACATGTGACGCAGACGCGGGAGCGCAGGGTGACCTAGGCGGTGGTGCCACAGGAGGGTCGGGTGAGTGAGGGAGCGACAGGAGCAGGCAGCAGCAACCTGGGTAGACGCAGCCACCTGAGGGGGCGCTCCAGCCGGGGGGGTCACGGTGTCCAGAGTGAACTGGCCGGACACCGGGTCCCGGGGGAACGTGGACAGGGGGGCACCAGTGGCGGCCTCGGTACAGACAGCATACCGCTCGTGACCAGGGAACGTAGTGGTGACGCCAAGGTCCTGGAGGCAGCCGACACCAACTAGGTTCCTGGAGAACGAGGGGATATGCAGACCTGTAAGAGAACCCGAAGGAACTGCCGGACAGGGAAGGGTGGTGGAACTGCGGGCGACTACCGGACCGCCGGAGGGGTCAGCAAGAGAAACGGCAGCAGGAACAGGAAGCGGCGTCAGGGTGGTGGAGTCGCGGAAGAAACACCGAGAGGCGCCAGAGTCCAAGGTGAAGGAAAGCGAAGCCGAGGGGTCTGGCGACGGAACGACGGCGGAAGCACCAAGACTACACAAAGCAGGGGATCCTACGCCTGACGCAGCAGGGGAGGCTAAGCTAGGCACACATACACTAGGCAACAGTGAGTAATAAGCGGGAAGCACACTAGAGTCATCAGCATACATCACATGCAGAGCAGAAACAATGGCATCCATGTCCATATAAAAAATCTGAATCTGACGACTAAGCAAACTGTGCCAGTCCGGGAGGTCTGGCGACGAGCCGAAGCGCTGACGAAAGAGGTCGTCCAGGCGACGAAAACAGCGGGGAGTGGAGTGACCGATCTTACCGCAAACGAAGCCGCGGCGAGGACCGGTCTGGATCTGGTACTGACAACGCCCGCCGCCAGAGCCACCACGCGGCACACCACCACGCGCCCGGCCACCGCCAGCGCCGGGCTACCCTGGCGGGAGGACACTCGTCTGCCGCGTCTGCGACGGCTGCTGCGGCTGCTGCGAAGGCTGCGACTGCAGCGGCTGCTGCACCTGCAGGGGCGGCGACTCAGCTGAACTGGGCAGGGTCCCCTCGTCCACTCCAGCACCAGGCGACCCGACCCCACCACTACCCCCGCCCGCACCCCCGCCGCCTCCTCCGCCGCGCCCAGCCTTGGGGCGGCGGCCCTTCCCCGAACGGACCTGCGCTGCAGCAGCAGTCTCAGCCACTGCGGCAGAGCCGTCGGAGAAGGTGCACTGAGCGGGGGCACAACCCTGAAAGATAGGGACCGGCACGACACCGCTCGCTTGGGCAATGGAGCTGTGACGGGTCTCTATCACAGTCAGGGTGTCTACAAAGTCAGTGAGGGTGAGGTCTGCGGGGTGAACGCTAAGAAAGCGGTCGCGGGCGACAGCAAGGCGGTCAGGGAGGCGGGTGGCAAGCAGGTAGAGGGTAGAGGTAATGGGCGGCTGGTGGGCTCTAAGCTGGGCGTCAGTGCAGGCAGCGCGCCAGGTCTCATCTATCGAGCGCAGGTGGGCAGCGAGGTCAGAGATAGTGGGGAAAGATGCAAGGTCAGGAAAGAGCATCGGAAGGATCAGGCGACCCACCGAGGCAGCCGGAGGGGTGGAATAGCGCTTGATCACAGCATCTAAGTATGCCTGAGCAGTAGTGAGGGACCTAAAGCGAGGACGCTCGGATGGGGGAAGGGCGTTGCTAATGGCAAGCTGGGCAACAGCATCGCGAGAAAGCCAGACAGAGCGCGCACGGGCAGTGGCAGCAGTAGCCTCACGCTCAGTGGGTGTGGGGTCAGCGGGCAGAATAGCAGGGGGGTCTGGGCAGGGGAGCGTACCGTCAAGGTGTGCGGAAAGCGGTTCACCATCCTGCCGCTGGCCAGTGAGTTGACGGCGGAGGTCGGCAAGCCACGCCTCGAACTCTAGGGGCTGACCTTCAGCGTCGAAGCGAAGCTCCGCCGCCATCAGGAACAGTCCAGTGCAGTGCAGGGCAGTGCAGTGCGGTGCAGTGCGGTGCAGTGCGGTGCAGTGCGGTACAATGCGGTGCAGTGCGGTGCAGTGCGGTGCAGTGCGGTGCAGTGCGGTACAGTGCGGTGCAGTGCGGTGCAGTGCGGTGTAGTGCGGTGTAGTGCGGTGCCAGGCAGTACAGTGTGGTGCGGGGCGGCACGGAGCAGGGCGGGGTGGGGGGGAACCGTACCAGTGAGGAGGACGGGGCCGGGGCTGGCCCGACGGGGCCGGGCGGGCGCGACGGGGCCGGGCTGGTGCGACAGGGCCGGGACGGGGCGACGGGGCCGAGCGGGCGCGACGGGGCCGGGCTGGGGCGACGGGGCCGGGCGAGTGCGGCAGGGCCGGGCCGGTGCGACGGGGCCGGGCGAGCGGGACGGCGGCCGGGCGGCTGCGACGGGGCCGGGCGGCTGCGACGGGGCCGGGCAGGGTGGGACGGGGCCGGGCGGGGGCGACGGGGCCGGACGGCTGCGACGGGGCCAGGCAAGGGCGACGGGGCCAGGCGGCTGCGACGGGGCCGGGCGGGCGCGACGGGGCCAGGCGGCTGCGACGGGGCCGGGCGGGTGCGACGGCGCCGGGCGGGCGCGACAGGGCCGGGCGGCTGCGACGGCGCCGAGCGGGCGCGACGGGGCCTGGCGGCTGCGACGGGGTCGGGCAGGGTGCAACGGGGCCCAGGAGGGGCACGACAGAGCCCAGGAGGGGCGCTACGGGGCCTGGGCGGAGCGCGACGAGGCCCAGGAGGGGCGCTAGGGGGCCTGGGAGGAGTGCGACGGGGCTTGGGAGGGGCGCGACGGGGCCTGGGAGGGGCGTTACAGGGCCCAGGAGGGGCGCTACGAAGCCCAGGAGGGGCGCGACGAGGCCCAGGAGGGGCGCTACGGGGCCCAGGAGGGTCGCGACGGGGCGCTACAGGGCCTGGGAGGAGCGCGACGGGGCCCAGGAGGGGTGCTAGGGGGCCTGGGAGGAGCGCGACGGGGCCTGGGAGGGGCGCGACGGGGCCTGGGAGGGGCGCTACAGGGCCCAGGAGGGGCGCTACGAAGCCCAGGAGGGGCGCGACGAGGCCCAGGAGGGGCGCTACGGGGCCCAGGAGGGGCGCGACGGGGCGCTACGGGGCCTGGGAGGAGCGCGACGGGGCCCAGGAGGGGCGCTAGGGGGCCTGGGAGGAGCGTGACGGGGCCTGGGAGGGGCGCGACGGGGCCTGGGAGGGGCGTTACAGGGCCCAGGAGGGGCGCTACGAAGCCCAGGAGGGGAGCAACAAGGCCTAGGAGGGGCGCTACGGGGCCCAGGAGGGGCGCGACGGGGCGCTACGGGGCCTGGGAGGAGCGCGACGGGGCCCAGGAGGGGCGCTAGGGGGCATGAGCGGAAGCGGTAGGTGGGGGGGATCCTACCTACGCTTGATACCATATCAGAATTGGAATTAAATTGATGGTAAAGTGAGAGTACACACAAATATACCTAAGTGTTGTACCCTCTAAGAGGTAACCCTATACAGTCTATACAAACATGACAAATACAGATGTTTGACACTTTAGATGTCTGTAGTTGAATTACTAATTATTGAGAAAGCTGTTAGAATGTCGAGAGGAAAGTGACTAAGGGAGGAAGGCTGAGGGTTACAAAGGTGGGAATGTACCCTCTAAGAACTGACCGAACTAAGGCTATAACAAGTATACTGTACCTAGCATAGACAATTATATTTGTTGACACCCCCTAGCCCAGATAGTGGCAGTTCCTAACAAGAAAAGTACACCAGGGCAGCACTACTAGTCCGACCTCTGATGAGTGGAATAAGAAAACTCAGGGCAGTACTACTAGTCTGACCACTGAGACAAGAGGCCACAAGGCCAGTCAACAAGTGTAGCAAGACAAGCAGGTATAACACGACAAGTACAGGCAGGTATAGTATGACTCAGGATACAAGGAGAGGTGCTGCTACTGAGGCTAGACCAAGCTGAGTACAAAACCGCTGATGGTCACGAGACGCAAGTGCCTTGGTGAAGATATCAGCGGTGTTGGCCTCTGAGGCC